TTATAAAAAATTATAAATGTTAATTAGTAGTTAGAAGAAGCATGAAAAAGAACCTCATATCTTTTTAATCATTAATATAAAAAATAAGATTTATATTTGATTTAAATTGATTTTATTATTATAAAAAATCAAAACGATAAAAAATATATTATTTAATTAATAATAGTATTATAAAAATATTTTAAATTTTAATTTTTTTTTTTATGATTTTTAGAAATTTTTAGAGCAATTTTCAAGACTTTGGTAAAAATAGGTTTTTCTACTTTAGGAGCCATTATGAAGAAATAGAATTTGATCTTTTTTGTTCTTACTATTTGCTTCTTTCACTTCACACCACCAATTACAAGAAACTTTGAATTAATGCCATCTTATAATTTGAATTGAGGATGTGAAATTTATCCTCATAATCCACTTAACTATATTTTCTTGCATGCATGGCATAGGAATTGAAAAGTTTTGATATAGAAGTTCAAAGCCTAGAGTGCAAGGCCAGCTTGTTTATTTGAATGAATTTCTCAAGAATCTTTCTGTTTTTGTAGGTAATCGTGGCAATTGAGAGGATCATCAATTATATCTCAAATTCCTTTTCCACTTGCATAATTTTTCTTAGGAATGTCAAACATTAATCTTTGTTAACTCTTAATTTTTGAAATGATCATTGAATGCTCCGTAATGCTATTTTTTTTAATTTGTGTGTAAATCAAGGAGAATTATCTATGTAGCCCTAGGTAGTAACAGAGTTCTCAGAGAACAGGGACCTTTTGACGTCATTCTCCATAAAGTATATCTTGTATACTAATCCCATTCTTGCATACCACTCCAGCTCGGTTATTCTATTTTGTTTCTTTGTTTTGGACATCATTTAAAAAAAAATTATATGCATATATATAAATGTCCTATGTTGGTGAAGGTTCTTGGCATGATTCATGTATCGCCGCATCTGGTTATACTCTGCTTCTTAGTTGCAAGTCTATCACTTTGGTAGTGTAATGTTCATTGTGCGTTGGTTTGGTGTGCGAGTACAGTTGGCCGAAAGAGAGTGGCGGGAAGAGCTGGAGGTGAGGCAAACGTAGGAACAGATAGGCAAAAATGAGCCCCTTCTGTTTCATGCCTTGTATTATAAGAATTTTATGTCATTTCAAAGTCTTGTCTCTTAGGGAAATGATTTATTAAGTGGGGGTGCCTATCTCACCCAGTATATGTCATAATTCTTGTACCGAACACCAGCCCTAGTCCCTTCGTTCTTTTTCCAATATCAGGAGGTTTATTGTCTATCTTTCTGGATGACCGAGTTTGTGAGACTGTTGGTATTGCAGGACTATGTGCAAAAATTCCCAAATGTCACTGTTTAGATCCACCAGCTGCAATTCAGAAACTCAGAAATCGACATTCTATGTTGCAAGATGTAGCAGACTTGAAGCTCACTGATTCTGATGGTACCATATTTTTATTTATTTGTAGAATACACCCCGTGCCTAGGTTTTGACATGTAGGAGTGATTGCATTTCTTATAAATTTGTATTACTTGAGTAGACTTCACAATTCCTTTCAGGTTCAGTTGCTTTACGACCTTCCGTGTCTGAAAACCCCTCACATTACCTTAACATTCATGAATTTCATGTCATATTCCAGTGCTAGAACTTTTTCATTGAGGGATATGGTTAGGAGTAGAATCGTGAAGAGAGTTTTGTTATTTGGTGAAATCATGAATATTTAGAATGATCCATGATCGCTCATTCTTCTAACTAGGGTGATGTTTATTGAGGGTGTAAAGTTCTTATGAGTCAAATTCTGAGTTCTTTTTGTTTGAATTTTAACAGGATTTGTCACTGTTCAATTTTGGAATGATCCGAGAAGTGGGTGCTGGAAATTGTTATTACATTATCGACATAAATTACTTTCCCGGCATGTATTATTGAATTTCTTTTCAAAGTATTCAGCCTCACTACTTTCTTGAGCACCTATACATTTATCTAATGCGATAAAAGATAAAATCCTGTTCTGAAGTTTCCTCATTGAGACTTTTGTGGTGTCTGAATCTTATTTGTTTTATTTCTGTAATCTATGTCTAGCAAACTTTGCTTTTCTTCAGGCTATGGTAAATTGCCAGAATATGAGTTGCTGATCACCGATTATCTAGTAGACTTGGCAAGAAGGAAAGGCAAGACGCTTGAATCAGCAGGACCTGTCCTTGATTTTTGAGGATTATGCTAGTGCATGCTGAAAGTCTTTTACTCTTTTCTTATTTATTTATTTTTCATCTTAATTTTTTAAAAATCATTTCGGTCCATATATATAATTGCAAGGTCTGTTAATAACCATTAGGGGATTTGAGCACGTTTTGGATGCTCTCAGTGTTGAAAGCCGCAGATAACTGTCAATGGTTGCACACTCTGATATTTTCTAGTCTTTTCTTGATCAAACAAATTTGAGGGCTGGAAGGGTTCTAAGTGCCATCGGAAGATGTGAATGAAAAATAGGCCTAAAAGCCTCTAGACATATTGAGGATGCATCTGATGACCAGTGAATCTGATAGCATACTTCGAGTCAAGGCATTTCTTGATGCACTCGTAGCAAGCAGAGTCTGTTTTTGCTACTCCACGATACATTCATAGAACCCACCACCAGAAGGCTAGGCATTGCTAAGATGATTTTTCAAACTCAATGCCTTGAAATTTTAGACTTGCTTAGTTGTGCATTATTGAAGACTTCAATTTGTTTAGTTGTCTGTTATTGAAGAGTAGTCCATGGATCTAAGGATGGAAGTTTAGTCCAAGAAGGGGGGAGGAACATGTACAAAAACAGTGTTGAGAAAAGGATATTTCTTTCTTTCTTTCTTTCTTTCTTTCTATGTTTTTGCCACCAATTTCAAACTAGTAACATTGGAGTAGTAGAGGGTATGTATCTACTTTACAAAGAATTCGTGTTTGATGCCATTTGTTTAAGAAAAAATGGTTTGGTTTAGAATCTTAACTAATAAATCAAATTTTATTGGATGGTATTCATATATGGGTTGAATTAGGAGGTTTATTTGTAAAAAACAAACTACTTAGTAGTCACCATTCTAAATTCTTTAGAAGTGGATTACAATTTTTATTAGAGGTTGAAGCACTTTTAATATGTTGTGTTGATTTTAATGAATTGTAATCTACTTGATTCAATTTATATAATCCATTGTCCCTCACATACTACACACTTATTACTTTAGGACAGCAAAAATTTACATAAATAATAAAATAGTGATGGCTTTAGTTGGAAAATTTATTGGAAGCTTAGTGAATTAATTAAATCCATCTCTTCAATTTTTATAGTCCTAGATTTAAATCTTAATAGTACTTGGACACCACACTTATGTAAATTTTGTAACTTTTTTTTTTTTTTTTTTTTCGAAAAATCTAATTTAACTTTATTTCTTCCATTCTTACGAGGACTAAACTTAATGTCCTTTTGTTATAAAAGTAAAAAATTAAAAATATTTTGGTCTATTCAAAGTGTTGAATTAATAGAAATTCTATGCTGAAAATTCATCTTCATTGGCTTTTTTGTTTGAATTTTTTTTAATGGCCAGAAAAACAATTGTAGGATTGATATTTATTTTATTGCTAAATCTTTTATATTTAATAATATTTTTTAATAAATTTTTTGTAAATATTCATGGTTAATTTATATAAGTATCATATGTAGTAAATAATAATATTATTTTTTAATCAGTTTTTATATTAAAATAAAAATTTAATAATTAAATTAATAAAAAAAGTATCTGAAATCTATACATGATTATTTAATCATAGTAGTTTTATCATATAATTTTTTTTCTAGTAAATAACATTATCATCTGTAAGTATATATATATATATATATATATATATATATATTATGAATGTTTTTATATATTACATATAAAAAATAAAACTTAAATTATCATTTAGCAATCAATATATATATATATATATATATATAAAACTTTAGATTTTAAGTTATAATTTCTATTCTAGGTTAATAAATAATAATTTATTTAATATAAGTTTAAAATTTTAGAATATGAATTTAAAATTTTAGTTAAATACTCAATATGATAAATTAATAATTATGATAAATTTTATTACAAAATGCTTTGTGTAAGTTATATATATATATATATATATATATATATATATATATATGATTTAGATAGTAAAATAAATATTTACTCTAAAATAAAATATTATAGATTTGTTAAATTATTTTGTTAAATAATATAATTTAAATGTGTAGATAGACAAGTATCATTTAATAAATTTACAAATATTTTAAGTTCATATTATAATTAAATACAAAGTAATTTTGAAATTGATTTTTTTCATATAATATAATGAATATTTTTATAACCTATAGTTTTTAAAAAACACAACATTACAAATAAAATATGAGTAATTTTTATTGCACAAAGTTTACGAAATTGTATTTATTTAATCTATTCTATCATGTGTAATATTTAGAACTTAGTATCGAACAAGAGGATTTAGTGTAAAATAAATTATGTGAAAAAATACAAAAAATCAAATAAAATAAACTTTTTTCATCATTGCATTGTTTAAATGAATCTAACACATGTTTTGATATATATTCTATTAAAAATAAATAAGCAGTTCCCATTGATATTTTAGTCCTTTAAAAATATTTGAATAGAAATTATTTTTAGTGCTAAATCCATATTCAAATAAATATATAATTTTTTTGCTATAAAATTGTTGACAAAACATACATTTTTGAATTTTAATTTGTGTTCTTAATAGAAGGTAAAATTCTACAGTTTATTTAAATATAAATCTGATCACGATTAAAAACATTAATACCAACTAAGGAGGAAAATGTAGTACTAAAACCATTCAAAAGCATTTACGTGTTAATCAATTTTACCTTAAACAATTATTAAATTTAAAACTGCAAGAAGGTATCCAAATTTGACAACATTGCACCACAATAAATTTATGTGAACAATTAAAATTTCAAAACTCAAATAAAATAATAGGTTACTCATCCATCTATCTAATCATTTATTTCTGTGTTGGATGCATTAAACTAATGCACAAACAAACATAGCTATTCTGTACAGTGGAAAATACTGATGTCCAATTGTTATTAACATAGTGCTTTGAGGAATATACATTGTTGAAGTAGGATAGGCTACGTGTTGTGATTCATTCTCCGAACGCATCTAACCACCCAAATCCTTCAGCATACACATGAATGTCTCTACCACAATACACGCAATGAATAGCAAATTTCAGAGCACCAACACAAAGCTTGACCCATAATTAAAAGAACTTGAGCAGATCAGCAGCAGTGGCTAAAGCTCCTGCTGTGAGGGCGGTGCGGACCATCTTGTCTTGGTTGATAATCCCATCCGACACAGACAGCATCGCGCCTGTCACGACACCTCCAACCGCTGCATTCTTCTGTAGCATAAACCATACAAAATAACATGCAACCACTCATTTCAAGCTCCCAGAATAGACCTTTCCAGCACCCATTTCATACAAAAGCTTGATAGTGACCCATGTTTGTTGATTCAGCAGAAAAGACAAAAAGATCAGAGCCCAGGATGTGGTGCCTTCAACACTCCATGTGGGGGCCCTCTTGATCGACTCTCACGTTTGTGGAGCTCAAAGGAGTTCAGTGTGGCCGCATGAAACAATAACAAAGTCCATTAAAGTCTTTACCGATAATTGATGCTGACATACTTGTTTGTGTTTGGAGAGTGATTGTTACCCAATCTTGCTTGCCTCGGGCTCTCTCCATGCCGTACTCAATCCCGGCGTAGATCCCTGCTACCATGCCTACATGTTGGGAATCAGCTGTTGTGGTTGCTTAGTGAGTGAATAGAGAAAGTTAAATTTGGTCTTGTGCTTCTTTCCTCCAGAAACAACCGAAGTTTAAGGTTTCAATCTGTTGTTGTACAACCGATTACTGCTCGCAAATCATAGGAAACAGAGGGAGAGTGTGCGTGTTCTTATTTGATGGAGAGCTCTCACAATCCATCAAGGGTGTTACTTTATTTCTTGGGACTTAGAGATTTTTTGAAAGGTTCACAAATTGGAAGACACTATTCTACCTTTTTCATGTTTGTGTTATCTATACGCTAAGATGAGCGACGCCATAGTGGAGTTTTCTTTTTTTTTCTTTTAATTACTTGTTGGTCAACAGTATGAGGTCAGGTGTGTTACCCCATTGAAGACCCTCTCTTCCGGCCTTTTTGACCTGCGCCAATGGATACAAAATTCAGGAACTCATGTAAGTAAACTTAGCCTACTTTTCCCTTGAAGGCGAGATAATAAGTGTCGAAGCTCATGTCTGTGGTGTTGAAGATTTGACGAGCCGCTCAAATTCTAAATTTATTTTAAAGATTGAAGTTCCTCATTTTCCGTGGAGCTTTAAAGACGAGAATGCAAAGCTCCACTAATTCCAGCAGACAGATGACCTTTGTATCCTCGAGTTCCTTGCATTCCCAACCAGCGCTTCCCCCTGAAACATTCTTAAATGAGTATGTCCTACAGTCTTTGCGCTCAGAACTAATGCACAAATTGTAGATGCATCACGAAAGTGGGCATGGGATAATCATACGATTCTTTCAAGGTCGCATTTTGTCGTCGGCACCTCTGCATCATCCCCAAGTCCAAACAAGCCACATGTCATTTCTGTGGATACATACAGTGACCTCAAGCATGCATTTTACATCAGAAGGCTTGGGAAATTTTGCTGGCTACTGTGAGAGTCCATTTTCCTGGTCTTTGAATTCAGAAGTCGGCGTGGGGATCGAGTCATATTCGAATCAGTTGGCAAGGACAACCAGAGAAATAGTGATTGTTTTAAGAGTGGGGACAAAGTTCTGCAAGAAGATCAAACCACCGTGGCATATATACGGCACTTTAATCCGAGGACAATGAGTCGAAGGGCTGGGGTAATAACCTTTTGAACTTTTTAAACCTCAGTTTTAGGTTAAGCCTCTGTACCTTTCTTCAACAAACTGTAGGCTTCTTGTGTCGCGGCATGAGCAGCTCCAATCTGCATGCGCAGATACCCATGTCTACTAGTTTCAGTCTTCCAACCCTTGATCTTCAAGTTACTGTAAGAGAAGGACATTTTTCAGAGTACCCACTATGGTCTATTCTTCATTTTGAGCATACGTTCACTGAAGAAATCAATGTATGTGTGTACCCCACTGATCTTGAGAACGCTATCGAGGGTGCAGTTCAGTTGTGGATTCCCTGTGTCCATGTAAACATTCATAGAATTAGGCGTTGCGTTGAGTGAGAGTCTTGGGTTCCCCATTCCTTCACCAGTCCAACTTCCTGAAAACTGGTCTTCACGATCAAAGAAATGTGGAACCTATTGAGCATAGAATTCAATTGTGCAGCACCGTTAGCATATGATTCAGCCCCTTGGTTGTGAAAGAAAAAGAAAAGTCATAAGGCTCTGGACATCCGTCATTCAAATTGTGTAGCATCGGAGGTTTTACATCATTTCTAACAGTACTGTTCTTGTTGAATGATCTGCTTCTGTAGACCTAGCAGTAATTCAATTCCATGAGTAAGACTGGCATTCTTGATGTCAAAAGTATTCCAAAGATTAGATCCAGTATAGTGACGCTACAATTGAAAACTTACTTCTAACATCTAATTTAATGTCGCACTCGGGTTCCGAATTCCGGTGGCCTACTCTGATTTACTAAAAAGTTTGTAGCTTATGATCGACAATCTTGATAGGCACTCATCAATTACAGCACAAGTTCGTTTAGATTTCTCGCCCTAGTTCATACCGAAATCTGAGACGGGTAATAACGATCCACATATAAGGGAATTTGAAAATGACGACCGGATGGCATGTTGACCTGGAGAAGGTAGTGGGGTGTTTCTGTATTGCGTACCAGTTGCAGCATACCTTTGAAGTGTTCGCTGAAACCCTCAGCGAAATCTGACGCAGCCGTCGACGCGGATAGCAACCCAAGCATGCGTAAGCCTTGAACGAATACAACCTCCTGTGTCACTCCCATTCCGCAGCCCTTGAGATCGACATTGTACATGCTAATTTTCCTCCGTTCGCTCAGTCGGAGTTTAAAGAATCAACTCCTCCAATTCATGGATCAGTAACTTTCGGAATTTGCGAAAAAAATTCAAGGTCCCAAGTCAATCGCGAATTCTGACAAACCTAGAGATGAACCCAACGCAAATTCGAATCAGCAAGACACGTACGAAGCTCGTAACCTTGGATAAATGCAGGTATGTTTCATGCAATTTCTACACTTCAACGCTTCGCCTGTCGGCGCTGCATTACACCAGCAGTTGATCGCCGACACACACCAGCAGCCCTCATTCAAGTTCCTGAACCACCGATGGCAAAGAACGTGAACTAGCACTACCAACCTGGTTCCTGCAACCGAGATACAACTCAACAGTGGCACAATGGAATACGATGATGGGTTATTAATCCATCACTGAGAACAGCCGATCGCCAGCACAGGCAGGGGTTTGAGATTGAGATAGGCAGAATGAATTAGAAACCGCCACTCGTTCGGGACCCCAGAAAAACCTAACGGTTCCCCTACGCTCCTCATGAGAACCCAACATCGCATCACTCATTGCACATCTATTGGCATCATCCCACTCGACCTGCTCACGTGAACTCGGCCAGTGGATGCAGTGGCATGCAGTGACACAAACTACGAGCGACGATTTTTCAAATTGAGCTTCATTTCATTAACCACCTTCAAGAGCTATGAATCATCTGTAATTCGATTGCAATCAAAGTCTGAATGAATTGGATTCCCACTGCTGGAGTCGTCTTAGAAAACAGGCAGTGGTGGTTTGAGGAATCGTTTTGATTTCCACGCTAGAATACACCCATCGACCAACTGGACAAAAAGGATAAAATTGCTATGCAGGTTATTGCACCAGCTGAAAACTTAAATCCTGTTGGTGAAACAATCCAGCACCTTCTCTTCGTTAACCTGCCACGTCAACCCTAGCTAGAAAGTAATCCTAGTGTGAACAGATATTTCTTGTATAATCTCATTTTCAATAAACAAGCGAGATTATGCAACATGGTATCAGAGAGTAGCGTTACTCTTAAGTAGGTAGAGGCATCGAGAAGGTGAGCTCTGCTTCCTTGAAGGTGAGACAACTGGATACTGGACGAGGAAGAGTCTAGACATACTTTTATTTGTAGTTCATGATGTCCGACTCCAGGGAGAAGACCTTGAACTGTGAGGTGGGTGAATCCAATAACCTGATAGCACCACAGAACTATAATGTCTAAAGTTTAAAAATGAAAGCATGTTGAATGTCCTATACTATATGTATCAAAAGCTATGACTTATCTAGCATTTAACTAAAACATCAAAAGTGTCCTTTCTTTGGTTTCATGCACTTTTTGATAGCAACAAAAGAGTTCATCCTACTTTCATGTTTTCATCATGTTTTCATAATATGGTATCAAATTTGGATGAAAAATATCAAGGATGAATATCATTGAATAAGATTTGGATGAAAATAGATATTTTATGGATGAAAACTTAGATAATCTATTTGTTGTCAAAGCTCCATTACTGCTAGAACATTGCCAAAGTTGAGGAGCTGTTGAGGCCCTGTTGGAGCTCTGTTGGAGCTACTAGAGCTAGAATTTAATTCTATTAATGGTGATTTTTATTTAATTAAATTCTATTTATTGCTGGTGGTGAAAACAAGTTTTTTTTTGCTCCAATATAGCTTGGTACTACAACTACTCTCCAAATATTGTATTTTGTAGATCATTTTTTAATTGATCCCTTATAGTTATTTGTTGCTATTGCATTATTTGTATTTAGCAATGGCATCTTCAATGAATCATTGCATTAATCAATTACATGAAAAAAACTATGATACATGGGCATTTGTTATAAAATACTTGATATGCATTTGTAAGCTCTATACGCATGTAGATGGGACATTAAAATGTCCTATGGATATTAATGAAAAATTAAAATGAGAATCAAGCAAAGCACAAGCATAAGCATTGATTGCACTTAATATTAAGCCTTCAGAATTAACTCATATATGCAAATGTAATATTGTAAAAGAAATGTAGAACATATTGGCTATAATCCACAAGCCTTTAAGTATTATTATTGAGATATTTTTAATAAAGAAATTATACAATCTTTAATATGTAGATGAAAAATCTATCAAGATCTTTTTTGATGAGATTTTTGATCTTAGGGATCAATATATTGAAGCCGGTGGTGAAATGGATAAACAAAGTATGGCATTTCTTATATTTATCTCAAAATCTTGGGATCCACTTATTACCAAAATTTTATTATCAAAATCACCATTTTTTATTATTAGAATCTTGGGATCTACTTATTCAATCAATTGTATTGAGGAAAAGAAAAGAAATCATGGAGGACGTGCTATCTATTCTCCTTGAAAAAAAGATGAGAAAGAGGGAAAAGATTAACTTTCTATTTTTTCCTTTAGTAATGCATGTAAGAAGAAAGTAAGTCTTAAAGAAGCACCATCCACAACAAAAACAAAAGCCTAAGATTGATAAGTATAAAAGTATTTGTAGGGCTTATAGATAGAAGGGACATTAGTAAGGTGATGCAAAATGTCCTAAAACAAAGAACAATGGTATGATAAATACTAGAGTAAGTAAATCTTATCTTTTGCCTTATAAAATTGAAGAAGTTTTCACAATTTCTAACTCATCTATTTAAAGTCATATACTTATTGAATGGCATTAAGCATTAGCACATACTTCAATGAATACAATAAGAGAGGCAGAGAAAATGAATTATGTTGAAGGATTAAAGATCAAGGAAAAAAAGAATAAAATAACTTTATATAAGTTATGTATTATTGGCAAGGCTCATAGACAACCATTCTCACATAAGAAAAAGCATATCAATTATATTTTAGATGTAATAGTATTTGACCTTAGTTATTCTAATATGACTAGCTTTGGTGGTACCAAATGGTTAGCTGTGTAGATTGATGAATTTTTTAGCTATTGTAGCCTTGAATTTCTTTAAATTAAGGACCAAATAAATATTTTTTTATAAGACTCGAAAAGTAGAGGCACAAAGAAGAATTGGAAGAAATGTAAAAACTTTTTTCATTGATTAAAGCAATGAATTCTGAAATAATAAGCTTGGTTCTCAATTCAAAGTAGAAGGCATTTGGCACATAATCTCTCTTGCATATATACATGAAATTTTTAATATGGTAGAGTGTATAATATAAACTATTTTTGAAGGAGTACAAATACTTCTAAATAATGCTAAGTTAGATTGTCAATATTAGGTATTTGCAGCAAAATTTGTAATTTGGAGTGGTAATCACCTTCTACTTAGAAATCTAGATGGTAAGACATTAGATGAGATTTTTTACAATAAAAATTTTTCACTTAAAAATATTCATTGCTTTGGTTTTCTTGCTTAGTATTACATATCAAAAAAAAAAAAGGATATTTTTGTTGGATATTCAAAAGTAACAAAAGAATATAAAATTTTTCTATCTAAAAAGAAGAAGGTGATTTTTAGTTGAGATGTGATTTTTTTTAATAACAAGAATGAATTATTTGGTGAGCTATTAGTTCTTTAAGAGAAAATTAGAAAAGATATGGATTATAGAAATAATCTTGATATATTAGATTTTTAACATCCAAATGAATTAAAAATATTCCAAATTCAAGCCTCAAGATTATTTAGACATAATGGATTGGATGGAGAAATGGTTGAAGGAGAAGCAAATCCTATACCAATAAAAGTAGTGGAATTCCATCAATCAGAAGTGGAGGGAACCACTGAAGCTCTACTGCTAAGACATTGTTATATAAGTGGTATTGATCCAAAAAATATTATAAGTGGTAGTAGGATGCAACGTACATCTTAAAAAAAAGAAAAAAAAAATATTTGAGTAAATTATGACTTGCCAATTGAAACAATGGATATGATTCATATTAATGAATATGCAGAACTATAAATTCTTTTTTTTTGTAAAGAATGAAGTCATGCCATGAAGGAAGAATTCAATTCTTTAAAAGATCATGGTATATAGGAATTTTCATTTTTATCCAATGGTAGGAAGGCTATGGATTCAAAATGGATTTTTTTTAAAAAATCTTGCTAGTAATGGCTCCATTAAATATTTTAAAGTACAATTAGTTGTAAAAGATTTTATTCAAGTAAAAGGACTTAATTACCAAAAAACTTTTGTATCAATTACTTGCCTTATAATAATTTATATATTTGTTGCAATGGTCAATACCTTTAATTGGAATATGTTGTAACTTCATATTATTTCATCTTATTTAAATGGTGAACTTTAAAAAATAGATATTTATATAAAAATTCTAGAAAGTTTGGAAGTTTAATTGAAATATAAAGATAAGGTGTTGTAGTTGCTAAAGACTTTATATGATTTGAAGCAATCTAAACAAGGATGCAACAAAAGTTTGGATAAATCTTTATTGAATCTTAGTTGAAAGTGCTGAAAATTAGATCTTTATTTTAATACGATATATATTATAGAACTAATTATTATACTAATTATTTATGTCAATGACATATTATCATGGAAATATATATATATATATATATATATATATATATATATATATTATAGATTAGTATGCCTAAGAATTTTAATGGAACAAGATCAAAATTTTGATGATTTTTGCAACAAGTCAAGCTCTATCTAAGGTTGCATCTTTTTCAATATCTTGATGGATTTACTCAAGTTGGATTCATAGATACACTTCTATCAAGAAATACAAATCAAGAGAAAGCAAACTTAATAGAAAAAGATTTGTGATTCTTTTATGATTTGAATTCATTCTTAGAAGTGTTTACTACCACATTTGGAAAAAGTGATCAAGAAAGAAGAGCAAAGACCTAGCTCTTATCTTTACAACAAGGATCACAGTCAACTATTATATATGCTGTTAAATTCCAAAACCTTGCTTGCAATATGGACCAGAATGACAAAGTCCTTATCAATTAATTTTAATATAGGTTGAAGGATAATATCAAAGATTTTTATTGATAATACTCAAGACAAAATCTTTAGAACAATTTATTGCTCAAGCCATTACATACAAAAATTGATTATTTGAAAGATGTCAAAGACAAAGACTTAATTAGAGAAGAATAAATCAAATAATATCGGCTAATGAACAAGTTTTCAAAAACGTATTCATCAAAGCCAAAACTAATGTAAATTGATACGATATGTTTTAAATTCTTCATGGAACAAAAAAAGATTCAATAACTTCAAGAAGAATTATGCTTATATTGTGGAGAAGCTAAATATACTACTCAACATTATTCAAAGAAACAATGCAATCACAAAATGAGAAGCATAGTTGCTAAAGAAGACAATGTGTCAAAAAAAAATTTCTTCAATTACAATTGAGATTGTACGGCTAAAATCTTACATAACTTCTAGTAAAGATCTTATTCTCTCTTCAAAATCTTCACCTTGTTTTACAATAGAAGTTTATTTAGGACCAAAATTCAAAAAGTCTTAACTTTGTTAGATTCAAGAGCCTCAACCTATTTTATAGATAAAGATTTTATCAAAAAACAAGAGATATTGCTAATCAAGAAAACTAAATGAATACATATAAAAGTTATAGATGATTATTTTTCATCTTTTAGAAATATTATACATCAAATTGTTTCTTTAGATATAGCAATTAAAGATTATAATAGCCTAATAATATTTAATGTAATAAGATCTCTATCCAAATTGATTATTTTAAGATTATATTGATTAAAAAAATATAATCTTTAAATAGATTAGATTTCTTATAACCTTATTTTTTTTAATAGTTTAATCCAAAATCTCATTAGTCAAATAAAAATATATAAGTCTAATACATCAAAACCATTACTGATAGGTACAAGAACTTTCATGCATGTCGCAAAAAAGGGTTATCTTTTGCTTTATATGCCACATCCATTTTTGATGGTGAAAAGACATCAAGTAATATTCCTAGCCAATATCAAGATTTTAAAGTTATTTTTGAAAAGAAAAATATATATATTCTTCAAAAGCATCATCTTTATGATTATTCCATTAATCTTTATGAAAGAGCTTAACTATTATTTGGACCAATCTAT